AAATCCTGTTTCCCATGCGGCGTTTCCTGCTCTCCACCCATTGTTCGGAGACGGCCCTGACTCCAGGAGCCGGCAGGAGCTGCCCTGCGCAGGCTGTCCCTGGTGAGCAGCGTGCGGCGATGCTGAGGCCGTACACACCTCGTGACACCTTGACCTCCTGCCGCCACGAGCCAGGGTGCCGAGGCACGGCCTCACCTGGGCTCCATGTTATGCCGGGGCCTGGTGCACGCCTGCAGCTGTCCATTGTGGGGCCGCTGTCTGGGTTGAAAGGGGCAGAGCAGGAGCACAAGCAGGGTGACAAAAAGCCGGCCAGCTCGCATGGGAGGGCGGCCACTGCCAAAGGAGAAAAACCCTCCACATTGCAGTAAACATGTCTGGGAGGAAGTGCAAAGCAGCAGAAAGCCTGACTTTCCCACGCACAGCGCCGGCATGGGCACCGGCACGGCACAGCCCCGCTGTCCCCCCAGTGCCAGGGGGTCCCTCACCCATCCCTCCTGCGAGTCTGCCCTGGCGCTCTGGGCTCTTCGCCTGGCAAACGAAAGGCATTTCCCAGGAAATCACCGTCAGCTTCACCCGCCAAACCTCACGCTGCTTCACAAATCGAACTGTTCCCACGTGAAAGCCAGGGCTGCCGGGGAGCAAAGCCTCATGTTTTGGTGTGTCCCGAGCCCATGCTGTATCCGGCCAAAAATCTAAAGCACACATGGAGAGGAAAGGGAAATCCATTCATCGCTTCCGACTATTTACAGCATGCTCCAGGGCCGCATGGTGCCCGCGGCGTGCCAAGGGAGGGATGGCAGCGGGCAGGGGCTCCCCCAGCGCAGCCACCCGGCCACCCTGTGGCAGGAGGGATGGAGAAGATCCGAAAAAGATGGACACCAGATGCAGCCGCCCCTATTTGCCTGGAAAACCAAGTACGGTGCTTTGCTGTGGGCTGTGCATAGGTGAGGGGCTCTGTTTTTGGGAGACCCCTGGTCAACTTGAGGGACAACCATAATGTCAATATGGAGCATGAGGCCACCCCACAGTGGAATGTGCAGGGGCTGGGCAGATGAGGTTGGTCCCTCCTGCTGTTGGTGCCCTCCTGGGAAACCCCACATCCCCACTTGCCTGACCAACCCCAAGCTCATCTGCAAGCACGTTGGGTCAGGGACTCATCTGCACACTCAGTACAGCTGCAGGAAGGGGACAGATACACAAATAGGTAAATAAATGGCTTCTTCCCCTAGTTCACTGGCTGTAGAGGCCAGTCATGCTCAGAACTGGAATCGCCATCGTGCCACGGTGTGCTTACATGTGCTGTGCCCGGGGAAGCAACTCGTTCTGTGCTCCCCTCGGCAGCACACAAAGCTGTGAGTTACGACGCACCCTCTAAAGTGTCTCCCGACACGAGGATCCGTTTGAGGACAGGATTACTTACACAGAACAAACACGCTTTATGGGAGGGCTTTGCAACCGCATGGTTCCTCTTACTGCCTGAGGGGAACCAGTGCATTGCTTTGCTCGTTTGGGGAATGGGAACCATTTAGGGTCAGCTCTCCACACCAGGTGATGCCCAGGAGATTTCAGGGATCCATCGAGGCATCTGACCCAAGCTGATTTGTCCACTTGCATTTTTTTTTCCTGGGAACACCTGCATAAGAGTGTCTATCTGTGCAGATGCCTCAAGTCGGAGATGGGACAGGAAACCTCTCTGGGAGGTTTTGTGGGGAGACCCAACCAGGACACTACAGCTCCAGTTTAATGTTACGTATCTCCAGAGGAGGAACCAGGGAGCTGCATGCAGCCGAGCCCAGACAAAGCAGCTCGCCACACTTGTAATATGGAAAGCTCCAGCTGCCCAACCCACAGCACACTAAAAGCACCTGAATTTCTGCTGATTTCACAAGACCTCAACTTTTTTGCTGAATCACGACGGACTAAAAGAAAAAAAAAAAGCGTGACAAAAATACCCCTTTTTGTTATCACTTGCACATTCTAATGCACAGCACTGCATGCCAGAAACCATAACGCACCGATATGTTTCCTGATAGGAAATGCAAACGCCCTGTGAATCCACCGAGGGGCTGGGCTGCCGCAGCATTTTCTAGCCCTGCTTCTCTGTCTGTTTGTTTTGTTTTAGGTGCAGAGCAGGTCCTGGGGAGGCCCTGCAAGGTTGGGTTAAGGGCTGCTGCCACCAGGCATCACAGCAGCCCGGGAATGGGCTGGCTGAGCATCCCTATCCCGCCTGGTGGCATGGGCAGGGCAGCTGGGGAGCAGGAGGCTGCCTGGCTGCGTTGGCATCCACCACACGCTCGCAGGATGAAGGACCGGCTGCTGGGAAGCCCTTTCCCTGAGGAAAGGGTGGGACGCACGGCTGTGGAGGAGTCCCTTGACAGCTGGGGGAAGAGGGGCCGCCCTGTCCCGGCCGCCGCTGGGGTGGAAACTGCAGATCCACAGTGCTCTTGTTGGCAGGCGACTTCCTGAGGCTGAGCAGGAGCGGGAATAGGGAGCAGGGAAGAGAGCTTGGGGCTCCCTCCTGCTGCAGAGGTGAAGGTGGGAGCAGGCGCTGCCAGCACCACCCCAGCATGGGCTGTGGCTCTGTCAGCCCTTGTCTGCTCACCCACCCCATCTCCCCTGGACATGGGAGCATGTCCCACCCAAATGTGCGCCAGCAAACACCCACAAGATACTGCTTTGACTGGATTTCTCAGATTTTCACTGACTCCACGGCAGTGAGCCGTACTGATGAGCAGCGGGTCTGCGTGGGGGGTGCTGGAGATGGTGGGTCAACCCCATGCTCTGGGACTTTCTCAGGAGTCCTGGTCGCTGCTCAGGGAAGTCGCATTTTTATTAGCGGCTCCCCGACGCTGGAAAGCCAACACTGCTGAGCCACTGCCGGGCACAGGCACCTGCCCGTTTGCTGCACAGTTTAAACACCTTTCTGCCTGAGTCCCAATAAGACTTTTATTTTCCTTGATGACACTTTCCTGCTGCCTCAGCCCCAGCTTCTCTGGCCGAGGCTTGCTGCGTGCCCCTGCCCTGGCTGCGTGGCCGTCTTAGGGCAGATGCCACAGAGGTGCCCAGCTCCTCCTCTGCCCGCCCAGCACC